TGACAAAATTTCTATCAATTACAAAATGCCACACTGCTTTCAGACATACACTATCTTGATATATGGCAACATCCTAGGTTCTTGGGAAGAACTGGATGTATATGTAGGCCAATACAAGTTAAGGAACTGGCAGCTGTGATTTCACATTATTGTATATATTATATTGATAATAATATTGATATGTTATCTAAATATTTAAAAAAATATTTCAATACCAGTACTCTTTATTCTCAAATAAAACTTCTATACTTTGACCATAGCAATATGACATTTGTCTACTTTGTGCTTTTGCAAGTATACTTTATATTACTTTGATTGAAGTATAAACAAAAAAACTAGGTGGTTTTGCACTAATCTTGGTATTCTTTGAATTCTAATTTCATTTGGAGGGTAAATGCAAACCAGATTATAGTTCCTAAGAATAAAAGGAGGAGGGAAATCTCAGCTTCCTGGTAGTACAAATAATATTGAAAGTCCTGGTGCACCTTCACCAGCCTTAAAAATTGAGCAAGGCATTCTTGTGATCAAAGTGCTCCTATAGAATATTTCCAGACCTCATATAGGATTTCTATGGAAAAGATATGAGAGATCCGAAGAGCAAATGTAAGATATCCTAGATCAGTGATAGCAAACCATTTTCACCTCAGGTGCCAAAAGCACTTGCGTGCCCACCACATAATTTAATTCTCTCCTGCGCCATACCCCTGCGCATGCGCGCGTGACTCCCCCTGCTGCCCCACACATGCGCATGGCTTTCTTGGAGCCAGGGGAGGGCGAAAACGGCCTCCCCACCCCCATGAGACCATCGCGATCCTAGATGATGAAACTGAACTTCACATTAATTATGAGAATTTGCAAGCAAATATTGTTTGTATCCAAACCAACACTATTGTATACATAGGAATTCAATAGCCTTTCAGTGATAGATAGAAGTGAAGGTAGAGAAATATGTGTGGGTTTGTTTCCCCACTCAGATAGTTTGGTAAGTCCACAAAAGTTTATGCAAAGCTGGTGGGCAGTAATGTTATTTTTTTCCCCCCACTAAGTTCAAAGCATTTCACTTTATCCCTGAATGGATTCTACCTATGTTCTCTGGGTTGTCATCCTTAAAATACAAACTACAGCCAAACAGAATACAGTACTTACAATTTTAATTTTTTTTTTAAGTTCTGAGCTGACAATTCCTCCCGGTCCTTTTTGGGCCAAGGCAATCTTAATTTCTTTCTTGAGCTTTGAGGGGGGAAAAGTGAGTTATCCAGAGTGAAAGGAAGTAGGTCCATATACTTATGCACTAATCTAAAATTGAAGAAAATGCTGGAATTGGATTAAAAATCTTCTTATCATGCTACTGCATTCAGCACTGTGGCTAGCCGGAGGATTCCAAGACAGGATTCCGAGAGATCAAAAGCAGAACAGAAAACAAACAAACATCTTCCCCAATTGTCAGCAGCAGTCAAGAAACAAGGAAGTCTCATTCCATGCTAAACATTAATCACTAAGAAACAAGATGTTTTCTTTTTAAAGTTAATGTAGTATAGTGTTTCTTGGTTCCTAAAATTTCATATATTGCAAATAATCTTATATTCGAAAGTAAAACAAGAGAAAACTCTTCTGATAGATTAATCTCCCAGAACCCTATATAACAGAAATCAAATATTTGGAAGCAGGCCCCTGAGAGGAATTTTTAATTAAGAGACTTGGCTAAGAAATACCTGTTGTAAAATAAAGATTTGGATCTTTGCTAAAATTTAAATACTTTCTATACATAATTAATACAAAGCTAATACAAAGAAATTTAAATAGTTATGTAAATCAGTACACTAGTTTATTAGTAATTAATAGCATTTGTTGGTTGAGGGGAGAAAGGGTAAGGTACAACTTTTGGATTGCAGTGATAAGCTGGGAGAAAGGATTTTTCTTTTCAAGCATTTTAGGCTTCTTTTAATTTTCCATTTTTAAGTGAAGTAACAATATTGAAAAGTAAGCTCCTATTATTTGTATTAATCAAAGGTACATTAGTTAGATGCATATGTAGATTAGGCTGAAGTTTCAATAGAAGGGCTTACTCAAATGAGATTGATATATGTTAAGGTAATTTTATTTCAACATCCATTTGCTTTAGTATTGTCTTTCTCAAGAATTATTTTAAAATTTTATATTAAATAGCTGGATATATATTTCTCGTGTTTCTTTTTGTAAGCTGCCCAGAATACATTTATCATACTAAAAGGTGAACATGTCTGTAATAAAGCAAAAATAAATGTTGAAAGCTCAATTAGTAACTCCTACCTTTTGACCCAGGAATAATTAGAAAACAGACTTATTCTCTGAATATTGTGTAGCACCCCAGAACTTTACTTGATTGCTTAAAAAGATAGCATTTAAACTCCTTATACTGTGCAAGGATGTTTAAAGTTAGATATCCAATGGCCGTAAGGATTCTCACATTACATTAACCATTAGATCTTCACAGATTAAATGCACTTTACAACTTCCAGAATCCCATGGATGAAGGTGAATGATGCTAAAGGTGCAATTCAGCATTATAAACAGCGCCACAGTTTTTCCACTACTGATACCAATTTGAAGTGTTAACTTTCTTTGTAAATGGCCATATATCTTCAAAGATAACATACTGGCAAAACTTAAGCCAGCAGTACATGCAGCAAGGTCTTAAATACCTGGAAATACCCACTAAGACCATTTAAAATAAAATATTTCCCTAATGATAGGGTTTGGAGTTTAGGGGATGGGGTTCGTCATTGAATCCATTTCTCGGCCAAAGCGATGTTTTCAAGATTTTTAAATAGCCATTTAAACATAAGAGATGCTGATATATAGGAGTGAACAAATATCAGACTTATATACCACTTCACAGTACTTTACAGCCCTCTCTAAGCAGTTTACAGAGTCAGCATATTGCCCCCAACCATCTGGGTCCTCATTTTACCAATCTCAGAAGAATGGAAGGCTGAGTCAACTCTGAGAGATCCGAACTGCCAAACTGCTAGCAGCCAGTGATCAGCAGAAATAGCCTGCAGTACTGCTTTCCAACACTGCGCCACTGCAGCTCATATTAAATTATAAATGAAGAGTGGGACTTGTTCCTTTGAATTATAGCTGCATTGAAAAGTTATATGTATGTGGATATGCTTATAATGTTATTTTGGCTGAGAGTAATATTTAAAATTGATTTCCCAGTCAGTTTTTGATGTTGGCTGTATAAAATGAAAAGGCATTCAATGCCAGAGAATTTCTATGATCCAAATGCATCCTTTATTCCAGTCATGTGTAGGGTGTCAGGCCTGCAATTATATTCCTTTTAGAATTTTGGCCTGATACACTTTCTCTTATTTCAATATGCTGTTTCTTTAGTATAGTTGATGGGAGAGGGGAATAGAAAGGAGTAGGATTGTGGAATGTATTGTTGTCATTCTTTTCTAGAAGCCAAGGTCATCTTTTGTCTCCGCACTTTTACACCTGACCAGAAGCAGCTGGGTGGAGACACCAGTGTGGAAGAAGAAGATTGGACCATGTGATGGATTGTGGGTGTGGGGACAAGATCATGAACTTTTAACTGGGTGGGATTCTGAGGTAATTTCCAGAATTCGGATTAACACAGATGTGCTAAGATGTCTGCTTTTTTAAATTGGAACTTTAAGGATCGTTTTGCCTTGGACTCTGATTTAATTCTACATGACACTTGGAACGCTGACATAGGGTATAATACATTTACTTCTTATTGTCTCATCCTCACCTCAGTTCTCTCTTTTGGACTTTCAACTAGTTTCATCTGTATTTGCAAATCATCAGATTTCTGGTCTGCGGTTGAACACAGAGCATCCATTGGCAGGATTGGAGAAGGCATCTCTGCCACAGGTTCTGGTACAGCAGAAGGCAAAGTTTGCTCTGTTTCACATGACTGGACTGCCATTTTGCCTTAAGAAAGCCAGGATAAAAATGTCAGCAGTAATTACACATAACTCCATTTTCTATTTCAAGCCAGTCAATGTTAAAAGTTCTAAGCAGCAAAATTAATCTTTTACCAGAAGCAGTTGGGACAATAAACATATGCAGATTCACGTCTGTATCAATATATGTAACCTGTAATGATATGCATAAATCTAACCAATCAACCTTCCGACAAAGACTACTGTAATAAATACACCTTTCTTTGCCTTAACCTCAGTAAGTTAATTTTCCTACTGTGAATCCAACCAGCTGCTGTAAGCTTCAACCTAAAGCACTGAGCAATTCTACTATTACTATTTCTCCTCTAGGTACAACCGAGAGTGCTTGTATTTATCATCTCAAAAAAGTACATGCTCTCAGAAGGTAAAACACCAGCCTCAATCACTACAGCATATATTTTCCAGCGATTCTCAAAGTCTTTATAAGCAAAGTGTGATAAATATATTCCAGTTGAATATAAGCATTCACATTTCAGTTGAATATAAACAAATGCTGTCTTACACTCGGACATTTCTGCTTGCTTCGTAAGAGGGTGTTCTTTTAACATCAACAGAGAACCTGCTCTTGTTTGCACAATTTGGATAATATCCGAAGCTGCATTCAGCACTTCAAACATTGAGAAGAATCCATAACGCACAAATTCAAATTTGCGCCCAAAGCGTTGAGTAAAGGCTTTGTCAAAATCTGAGAGCAAAACGGGGGAAAATCTGAGCATTTCCTTCAGCTCACTTTTTATAACAGGGGGCAGAATAGGAGGACCTCCCCCATGCCGAGGCAAATTTAGAGAATGCTGGGGGTGCAAAGGCACTTGGGAGCAAAAGGTGGAAGGCAAAGAGAAGTTCGGGTTATGTTTGGAATGTTGTGGCTTAGATCTGCTCTTTTGTCTGGCGACCAAGCTTGCAATGCTTTTGGTAGATTCATCAGCAATTGCTGAAAGACAGAAAAAAATAACGTTTATTATCACAGTACTAATTCCTACGGTTTGCATTCTGTAGGCACAGATATTTTTCTAATTTTTGCAGGTCATAATCTCCCACTCTTAAGTCTAGCATTATTGAACTTTTTAAAACAAACACTCCCACAGCTTTCGACTCTGTTTCATTTGCAATTTTCTCTCCCACCTTTTTGGGCTTTTGACCTTTACAAGTCATGTTTCACATTTTGGGCTGCTCTGAAAGCTCTTATTAGCTGAAGGTAAAATTATGATTTTTTAAAAAAGTGTAAAGGAAAATACAAACTATTTTCAATCTAATAGATGTACGACAGAGTTTGGTAAGAACCCTGCTACTGTTTGCTGGTCATAATGACCAAGGCTTGCAAGATATCACAAGTCTAAAACACTGTACATATTTTAAAATATTCACATACTTTTTAAACATTACTTTTACCAGATTAAAATCAAACCCACCTTTGAGAATAACAGTACCATCTCTTTGTGGAGATATGTTAACAGTATCAGGCATGTCCTTCACTAGTTCCATAACAGAATGGTAACCCAGCATACGCAATGGAAGCATTTTTCCTATCATAAACTTGTATTCTTGTTCTAATTGGCAAGGGGTAAGACCTTCCTTGATAGGTGTCAATAGTGACCGCACTTCTTTCTTCAGTGAGTTCATTCGCTGTTCTTGATCGGTCATGTTTACACTAACAAAATGAAAAAACAAAATAGTATTTCCTAGGAGAGCAGAATCAAAAATGCCATAGAGCTTTACTTGTGGTCAAGAAGCAATGGAAGAATACAAATACATACAGCCTTAATTTAACAAACACTCATCCACCAACTGCTCAACGTTACAGATGGGGCTAAATGAATGGTGTTTAGAACTGGTCCTTGAGATACAGTCTGTTCTGCATTCACGTGAAATGATCTGTGTGCTTGGCAACCAGTGTATATGTCTAAATTGCAGCATCCCAGTCAATGGCCACTTCCAATCTTCTCTGCTGACTTTCACAAGCAAAGTCAAAAGAGAAGTCAGCAAGGATGGTCACAGGTCACTCAATAAAGTCACACCCAGCCTTTCCATGCTCACAACAGCCAGCTGCACACCTGCCCACACCTGACAACAGCTCTGTTGCTAGTCTGCATGCAAGCTGCCTAGAACTCACCTAATAACCCATTTTCTTCACTTAACAATGGCAAGGAGAAGTCCAGGATTGCCCTTAATAAGTTACAACCATATTGCTTAGCAATGGAAATTCTCATCCCAATTAACATTGTTAACCGGAAACTATCTATACTAGTAAGCAGTAGTTCTTAGTATAAGCCAGTGGTGGGATTCAGCCAGTTCGCACCTATTCGGGAGAACAGGTTGTTAACTTTCTAAGCAGTTCGGAGAACCGGTTGTTGGAAGAAATCTCATTTTGTTTTTTTCCACTTTACAGGGCTAATCCTGTAAGGAAGGCAGTAAGGAAACATTCTGGTGTTGTTTCTAGCCTAATATTTATTGCCCTGCTTACGGAAACTGCCTCTCTGGTTAACCCTCATTACATTGTAACAGCTAAGGCGAAGTGCCTATCGACCTGAGTGATGTTGAGTTGGCCATTCCCACCCAGTCACATGACCACGGGGCCATGCCCATCTAGTCACATTACCACAGAGCCACGCCTACCCAGCTGGTCATTAGGCCAGAGAACCAGTTCTTAAATTATTTGAATCCCACCACTGGTATAAGTCAAAACTATAATAGAGGAACGCCAGAAGATAGTAATATCTTTTTGATAGTAATCAAAAAGATAGTAATATCTTTTTGAAGCCCACCTCAACTCTAAAGAAAAAGTCCCATTAAAAAATATATCCAAATTTGCTTCAAAAAAGTTCATTTTATTTTTTCAGTACTTACGAGTGCAATCCACCCATAGTTCAGAAATTTTAGTTCTCTCCTTCTGAAAATAAATATTTTTATTTGTGTTGAATATTCCCATTAAAAGTACATTCTAAATACCTTTAACAATTAGTATAAAGGTTCTAGAACACTAATACTCTATTACTGTACTACCATAGTATGCTATGCAATAAAACATGATTGATTCGCTGTTGATTGGTAGAGAGCAGGGGTGTCAAACTCACATCCTCACGTCGTCGTCCCGGCAGTGTCACCTGAGGTATCAAAACTTTTCCCCCCAGTGCTAAACTGGATGTGGGCGTGGCCAGCACGTGATGCATCCGGCTCGCAGGCCTCGAGTTTGACAAGCCTGGTATAGAGGAGAGGCAATATTGAACAAAAAAACTTATTTACATTGTTTGCAAGCACAGCGGTCTATGAGCTGACCACAGACGGAAGAAAAGGTTTTACACAAAATTCCATGTAAATAGACGACATCGCTCTTTGATCTCCACTATATTAACTACCATTTTTACAACCATATCTGAAATGATTGGCCATTCTGCCTGCCAACGAAAAATCTAAAATATATATACCAATAGAATAGAATGTATATGACTCAGGATTAAATTGTTACGTCTTTAATGCTCTTTAATGCTTGGATGTTTGTTTGTAGACATTAATCCTTGTCAGGTAATGGAAATGCCTGTGTGCACAACCAAGCTCAGAGAGAACTCCAAATTATTTATTAAAAAAATGCAACAAATGTATTAAAATCTAAAGTTGCAGATCGCTCAGTTATCTTAAACTGAGCATACATATACTTTTGGGAGCCACCACTAATGACTCATTTGTGAGATTGGCAGCTACATTAATTGGACGAATAAAATTTTAAAAAGCTTCAGCAATACTGAAATCACAAAATACAAGGACAAGGAATCCTAAGCAAAATCTGATTTAACTTTTCTGCACTAGCTACACTCCTTCTGAACAATGACTCCTAGACCTGTATTTGTAACATTTTTTATATTTATGTGTATGCTTAGGAAAAGAAATCCCGCGCGTCCGTTTTAACTGAATTCATCTTCTACTCTTCTACTTAGGATAGATGAAAGTTTTTTTTTTTTAAATTACCTGTTCAGGTTCAAATCACCTGAATTCAGTTTTAACTGAATTCATCTTCTACTCTTCTACTTAGGATAGATGAAAGTTTTTTTTTTTTTAAATTACCTGTTCAGGTTCAAATCACCTGAATTCAGTTTTAACTGAATTCATCTTCTACTCTTCTACTTAGGATAGATGAAAGTTTTTTTTTTTTTAAATTACCTGTTCAGGTTCAAATCACCTGAATTCAGTTTTAACTGAATTCATCTTCTACTCTTCTGCTTAGGATAGATGAAAGTTTTTTTTAAAAAAATTACCTGTTCAGGTTCAAATCACCTGAATTCAGTTTTAACTGAATTCATCTTCTACTCTTCTACTTAGGATAGATGAAAGTTTTTTTTTTTTTAAATAACCTGTTCAGGTTCAAATCACCTCACTTTGCACTTGTTTAATTCCAGCCAAAAAAATACAAGTGTGTGTCCCCATGCAGCCACGTTGAGGTCCCATTTACTAATTTTCCGTCCTTTGCACAACCAAGTGAGCTAAAAACTCTGAAGTAAATCATTCATATGATAAAACTAAGCTCATATTTAGGCGGCTCTAATTGAGTTTCTTTACTGAGGTGGGGGAATTCGTAACTGTGGCACTAGCAGGCTGCTTTTCAAACCTGGGTTTGTTTGTTCAGTCCACATAACTGAACGCCCCCCCCAAAAAAAAGCCTCTTTATGCAATTCTGCATTTTATCTGCGAGCAACCCCAACTGAAGTCAATGGCGTTGGTTTTCTTTTCGGATTGTACCGTCGTAGCCAAGAACTTCCTGCAAAAAAGCCAGTTCTGCCCTTTGGGGTGGGGGGGTATTATCTGTGTGGGTGTCTCTGGCTGCGGGGGGATATTCAGCCCAGCCAGCTTCCACCTACGAACGTCGTTTGCTTTGCGGTCCAGCACTTCCAACCCTTCCTCTCTCCCAAAAGAGATTTCCCACCTGGCTCCCTTTGGCTTTAAAGGAGTCTGAAAGAACCTCCACAAAACAAACACGACGCCCCGCTCCGAAAAGGCCCTCGCTCGCTCGCTGGCTCGCTCCCGCAAGGGCTTCGACTAGCGCCCAAAAGCCCAGCTTGCGCAGGCTCAGTTCGAGAGCGCGCGCGCGCCCGGCCTTCACGCCGCCGCACGTGCGCTCAGCTTCCCTTCTGAAGGGGCGGGGGCGCGGGGTGGGGGAGTTAGGGGAAACAAGTGAAGCTTTTGCCCTTCTATATTTCTTTTTAACCAGCGAGTCCGCTGTGCGAATACCAATCAGGGGACACCTGGGAGGGGGAGGGGGGGAGCGTCGCGTGCGCATTTGGCTCACCTGTTAAAGGCTCGCGCTGAGGGTGGGGGGGAACAGGTGGAAGGGTGCAGCTTTTGCCCTTCTATACTTGTCTTTTTAACCAGCGAGTCCGCTCCGTGAATGCCAATCAGGGGACACCTGGGAGGTGGGGGGGGAGCGTCGCATGCGCATTTGGCTCAGCTGTTAAAGGCTCGCGCTGGGGCGGANGCTGCATTCTGGACCAGCTGAAGTCTCCGAACACTCTTCAAGGGCAGCCCCATTTGCCATACAAATATGGCCTAGATCAGGGTGTTTTGTGGGTCTGGTTTGCATAGCATAATAATAAAATAGTTATTATTTTAGAGGTTATATTCCGGGTTTGGTTTTGTTCTCCTCCTCAAAGTATTGGGAGACTGTGCTTGATGATTTTCAGCAGCTGTGTTTGTGTAAGTCTGCAAAGGCTGGTTTGAAAGCTGCATAGATTGTATATGTATGGCTCCAACAGTAGATCTTAAGTTGCCTTAAGTCTACCTTAATCAGAATGAAACGTGAAAGAAATGTAGAAACTGGATTGTGGCTAGATATAACTCCCTTTTTTCTATGGTGCATCTAATCATCACTAACAAACAAAGGCATATGTAGCATTCCATTAATTGTCCTTTTTAATTTTGTTTTAATTAAAGCACCAAATAATCTTTGTAGATAATAATTCACAAATCTATATGTTGCAGGCTGCATTTCAGCACCAATATAAGACTCACATTTTAGTATACCACTTTCTTCTTGTTATTCTGCAATGGAATTCCACGTGTTCAATGAGATCCTTATATAATGCAGATTTTAAGAACAAAGAAATACTCCATTTTAAACGATTAAGGGGGGGGGGAGAAAGATTCGATTCCCCCCATATGTTTTAAAGAATAGGAAAAATATGGAAAAAATGGAATTTCCATCTAAACTGATACCTACAAAACGAATTAAAATGCTCTCAGACATTCAACTAAAAAAATTATAATTTGCTTTATTACTCTGAGTTCCAGCTTACTAACTGAACCTTCTTGGAGGGGGGGGGGAAGCTCATGAATAAAACAGCTAAATCTTTCAAAAACACAGTTTATAATGAATAATTTATTGCCTGTCAAGTATAGTCTTGGCTCCCTCCCCTTTGTTATTGGTTCCTCTTGATATTTTAATTATCTGTCCCAGATTTCATAGACTGATATCTTTTCCTTGGGATCCTGGCCACTTACAAAACAGATATTGTAACAGGGTTTCTAGGACTGCTTCTGACATACCGAGGAAACACAAGCTCTAAGATTTCGAACACCACGATCATGGGTAACTTAAAATTACAGTCACCAAATCAAAATAACCAAACCAACATTTTTTTTTTAATTAAAAGCACCTTTCGTATTCAATGAGCAAAATGCTGACATTGACTTAAAAGAAACATTCTAGGCTAGCATTGGTTAAGAATCATGTCATTCAGGACACTAGACAATTTCTGAATGATCATACATCACAGATTGTCATAAGCATAAGAAAGAGTCTGCTTGATATTTTTTTTCCTTCTGTCCTCTCTACCATTAAATGCCAGATTCACACTGTTGAGGTGGTAAAATTTCGACACCTGTGCAAGACATCGTAAAACGTAATTTGGATATTCTTTAATTTTTAATTCCTTTCTAGGTTTTGGAATGCCACTGTTTCATAAACAAGCAATTAGCATGATGAAAAGTAATAACATAGTTTACATTTGCATAGGTTCACCAGGGACGTGGTGGCTCAGTGGCTAAGACCCTGAGCTTGTCTATCAGAAATTTCGTTGTATTTAAGTACAATGACAATAAAGATTATACTTATACTTAAAGGTCAGCAGTTCAGCGGTTTGAATCCCCAGCGCCCCGTAACCGAGTGAGCTTCCGATCCTTGTCCCAGCTTCTGCCAACCTAGCAGTTCGAAAGCACGTAAAAAGTGCAAGTAGAAAAATAGGGACCACCTTGGGTGGGAAGGTAACAGCGTTCCGTGCTCCTTCAGCATTTAGTCAAAGCAATAGCAATAGCAGTTAGACTTATAGACCGCTTCATAGGGCTTTCAGCCCTCTCTAAGCGGTTTACAGAGTCAGCATATTGCCCCCAACAACAATCTGGGTCCTCATTTTACCCACCTCGG